CATTTTTCATATTTTCCTGGAACAAAGACAACCAATTACTCATACAACTTTTTTCACCAAAAAAATCAAGATTATAACAAAATGTTCTATGACATTTTCTACTGCATAAATCAAAACAAATAGAATGAGCCAGGGAAGTCAGAACATTCTGTTATAATCTTGATTTTTTTGGTGAAAAAAGTTGTATGAGTAATTGGTTGTCTTTGTTCCAGGAAAATATGAAAAATGGTATAGATGATATTTTCATGTAAAAATTGGAATTTATCACTGTTTCTGCTTGATTTGACCTTCAGGCGTTTATATAAAAGAAACTAAACTTAGAATAAATTTTGTTCTATCTGTTATTCGATGGTCGAATGTACTGCCTATATAAAGGAGAAAAACAAGACAAAGTGTGCACATGGAAAGGAGAAAAGAGAGGAGACAAAAGTGATAGAACAGAAAAAATGCCTAAATTTACTATAGCAAATAATAGAGACTATGACGACACATGAAAAACTCAAAATGGAATTATAAGAAGCCCACTGTCGGATTCGTCTTGAAAGTTTGCGTATATCATCTTAGTTTCATCAAGTTTGGTCCAACGTAGAGCCTGCACCTAATTTTCCAAGGGGGAAAAGGCGGATCCGGGATCCATGCGGATCTACGCGGATCCATGCGAATACAATTTTATTGAACTGAACTTTCCCAAAAATCTCTGTTCCCACAAGCAAAACAAAAATGTTCTGTCTGTGGGAAATGAATTCACAGAATAGAACACAATTGTCCCGTTATCTAGGAAATTCCCCCAATAAAAGAACCGGACTGTTCTGTTTCGGAAACACCATTGTCCTGTTTCGTGACTCAGACTGTTCTGTTTGGGGAACAGGATTGTGCTGTTTTAGCGGAAGAATATTGAGACGGATCTGTGGGGATCTTGGCGGATCTACGGGGATCCACGGATCAGCCTTTTCCCCCTTGTAATTTTCACTGCAAAAAACAAAGCATAACACGCATCAGATTAATCGGTTACTTAAAAAGGTGAGATGAATATGTACACCTCTGTAGACGAAAAATTTCTGCATATAGTTCTTCGAAAAATTCATTTTGATATGTTCCCAAAATTTCGACTCTGCTTTAAAACTTTAATTTTCGTCTTATGTTTTTGTTTTGAACCGTTTTACGTATGAAGTATAATACATAGGGAAGATTCATCGATGAATTCTGACTTAGTCTTTTCAGATAATTAGCTAAAAGAGTTTGAATTCAAAAGTCGTCTTTATTTAGACTATCTCACCTGGACGTGGCAAAGCGAGTAAAGAAACAGTGCACGGGTAACTATTATCTGCGTTGTGTGTTTGCTTTTCTTTATCGTAATAACTTGGTTTGTTTGTTATTAACTATTACTGCATTTTCTATAGGACGAACATTGTTCTTTGTTTAAACTATTTTCTCTTGCTGATGTTAGTACATTTAAACAGATCAAGCATAGAGTAAGTATGCCATTGTTATTTATTACTTTACACCATTTTTTCCTTTCTATAATTTATATTGTTCGTTAAATGGTATCTGTTCGAAAATAAAGCCACTATCTGGGGAATTTCCGAGTTCCACCAATTTCAAAATTCTGCGAAGTTCAAGAGAACTTTATTCTCTTACACGAGAATTCTACTTGTCTCAAAGGAACTCAGAATATCCCAAATACATTCGTCAAGAGAATTTTAGTCATTCCCAAAAGACTCCCTTTCACGAGAATGTCACTCTACTACACAAGAACTTTAGTTATCAAAGAAGACAGAACATCCATCTCCACAATTTATCTGACAGTCAAATGTATTGTGGCTTAGGTAAGGCCAGGTAACATGAGAAAATTCAGATATACAAGTGTCATCTGATATCTAAACTTTCTTCTGTTAAGCGGCAGCGGCCCACCCTCATCCTGCCGCCGTCCCACCTCTATATTGGTAGTAGCTCTCTCTCACATATATATATATATATATATAGCACTCAATCTTAGGTTAGGTAGAGGGTAAAATTTCTGTCAGAATGAGTAAAATTCTCGTGCAGATGGACGTTCTGTCTTCTTTCATAACTAAACTTCTCGTGTAGTGGAGTAAAATTCTTGTCCCTCTAGTGAAATTTCGGAATTTAGAGAAGTTGGCCATCTTGCTTTGTGAAATTTTTTCACGTTTGTTCAAAATGGAAAATTCTCATGATAAGAAAAAAAATTCTCGTGGAAAGCATAAAATTTCGGGATTCATGGAAACAGGCTGCTGAAAACGTTGCTGGAGGAAAAACTGAAGTTGTAGAATACAATGATTTCCGGTGGAATAAAACATCAATAACATAATTACTTCTCTTAGTCTCTTCAAATATATCAACATTTAAGAGGGAATAGTTTAAACACAGAACATTGTTTGACCTACAAAAATTGTAATGATAATAATACCGAATAAAGTCATTCTGATAAAGAAAAGTAAATACACAACTGAGAGAGTAGTTGCTCTTGCGTCACAGATGTCAGAACTTCAATATGCCGCAAATTCGCAAGTACTGTATTTTTATAAAAGCTCTTCGGTTCGCCGGACTAGCACTGAAGGTCCATATTTTCGGCGCCGCGCCGGCAGCGCATTCTCATCTATATACTTGGATCGGAATAAATTCATACAAAACGATGAATCCAAAATATTAGCCTCGTTTGCTGAGTTTGCATAGAGAGTACATGGACCAGAATATACAAACATACATCAAGGTCTCTATAGAGACATATTCAAGTATGGACTTTGAACAAACACATGACACGTCAAACCGTGGGCACTTAAAAAATTGTTCCTTTTTTGAGAATACATTGCGTACTAATATTCTGATACTCCTCTCGTACGTCGTTTCTTGGCTTGTTTAACTACTTTTTGTCTCATCGATATGAGATAGTCTAACTAAAGTAGTTTTTTTGAATCAAAATCTCTTTTTATGGACTAATGTTGAGTTTGGTCAATTTTAGATACCAGGCACATTCATCTGTCACACACTCTATGAAATAAACATGATCGATTATGAATATTACTCCGTACTTCATTTGCTTGAAGCACACGCACTATCAAAACCTGATAATGTTTGCCTTTTATATCCTAATTTTAAACCGCAACAACCAACAACATATGCTTCTGTTACGTTCAAACAATTTAATGATATGGCAAATAATCTTGCTAAAATTCTTTCGAAAAATTTTAATGAAAATGAACTGAAATCGAATAATAATTCAATTATTGTATGTTTATTAGCTAGTGGTAATGTACAATATTTATTAACTATCTATGCATTATTAAAATTAAACATTATCGTTTTTCCACTATCAATACGAAATTCTCAACCGGCTATAGTACATTTAATTACAAAAACAAATGCATCATATTTGCTTTATAGTCAACAATATTCAACTATTGTTAATGATACTATAAAAGAGTTAAAAGGTGTAAAAATAGCTACATTAGATGATGAAATCGATATTCAAGATCTACTCGTCAAGAACAACAATGATGATATTAATTTGTCTATTCATAAGAAAGAAGATCTTGAACGAATCAATGTTATATATCACAGGTTAAATAACTGTTTGTGTGTGCATGAATTTGAATGTAAAACACACGATCAAGTTCTGATTAACAAACAGAACATTTCTCTTTACCCTTGAAAATTTGCTTTTCGGTAGTACATGCAAAATTCAGTCTGGAAGAATATACCGGGTGGCTCAGATAAAATTAGATAGAATTTTACTTTAATCATATCTCTCGCTTTCTTGGTGCTACAATATCAATGTTTTCCCCAATAGATTCATCCTGAAATTCTCTACAAAAGACGTATTGTGTGTTTTATTGTTGAAGTTGAGCAAAGTTCTCCTTTTCTGCGAGAGAATTTTTTGTCGTTGAAAATGGCGAGGAGAAAGTCGACGAATATGAAGCTGCACAGAATTTTAGTTACGGTTTTTAGTTTTATACTGTAGAAAAAAACATTCAATACATTTTTGTAGAGCATTTCACTATGAATCTGTTGGGGGAAATATTGGTCTTGTAGCACCAGGAAAGTAGAAGATATGATCAAAGCAAAA